ACAAAATTTGAAATAAGCATTAAAATCTTCAGATCTGAAAAATACAGCATAAATATCCAAAAAAAGTGGAATAGAATTGTCAAGGAGATTCTTAAGCACAAGATACTTGGCATCTTTACATAAAAGCCTGAATTTTTCTTTGATAGTAATAGAAATTTTCTGCCATGCACTATGAGAAATCTTCAAAAAGAGATTAATATGTCATAGCTTTGGATTTTGTACAAGAGGTTTTTTATCTCCAAAAATATACTTATACATTGCCAAGAAAAAAGATTGATACTAAAGAAATATTAATTCTCAACTGTTTAGTGAAATATAAAGAGGACCTATAATAGGAAGAAAAGACAAAACATTATTAGTAATATTTAATAAATCATAATAAAGCAAATAATATAAAATGACAGTTCTAATATGAATTTGCCCAGGCCAATTAGCAACAATAGGAATTATATGCCCTTTTTTGATATATTGCTGTATTAATGGAACATTAATGATGGTATTAATAGCTTCGATATACTCTTCCATAGAATGAAGGTTGTTTTCTTGTAAATCTATAAGAATAATATCCTTCATGGAATAAATATGATGCTTCTCTTTTAGCCAGGTATCATAATTATGCACATTTAACTCCTCTAATTTTTGTTTATCACCAACTGCACAAAATTCCTAGTGTTGGTTATGTAAAAGACCATAGAATGTTATAAATTTATTTTCTACATTCATCTTGATTAGCTCAGCATTAACCAGCTTGGGATTATGGATATTTGCTTATGGAATAGCTTCTTGTGTGGTAATTGGATTTAACAAGATTGTTGTCAAGTGTGCAGCAGTAGATGTGGTTGTTGTATCTGGCATCCATTCCGTATAAATACTATGATAATTGTCGATATTTAATACCGTTGCTTTTTCTATATGCTTAGCAAGTATAGAATTGATGACTCCAGCATGCTCCTCAGATGCATTAGTCTTACATCTCAAGACTGAACAAGATATAACAGTGATTTCTAAATCTGCAAGAGTGTCTAAAGTAGTATCAGAAACACTTGTTGAATTTAAATAAATTGACAAATCTCTTGGCATTGTTAACAATCTTATTCCTAATTCTACACAAAAAATAACACACAAACAAAAGTTGTTTTTTCACCCACATCTGTGACTGTGTTTTTTGATTGTGGATTAGATGAGAGATATAACTCATCAAAAAATCTTTTAATCGTATATCTTCCTCTTCTATGGCTGCTCAGAAATCATCAAATGAATATATAGTCAGTTTATCCTCTTTATTTTCATGATTATACAAAATTTTTGTTAATACCCTAATTGCTTTAGAAAAAAACAAACAGTTATTAGTACTCTCAACAAATTCGTCAACATTCTCAAATTCAAATTCATTAGTATTATCAACTTCAGATCATTCTAGATTGTTAGCATTCTCAACTTCAGCTTCAGATCGTTTAATACTAGTTTGAGCATGTTGTAGAAAGGTGGCCAAGCTTCTTGTTACAATTCTATTGTAACAGTTCAAACAAATGGTGAGTGCATCTATGTGCTCCCCCACCCGATTTGGATTCTGTGATGATTATATCCAAATTTGGTATGTACTCTGTACTTCTACTTCAACGTACTCACTTGACCAATCAGATTTGCGCATCAAATAAAATATTTTATGATGCGATCTCTAAAGTTCTTAGAACGTTTTCGTCAAGAAAAATGATTTTTATACGTAGAATTGCTAGATTTTTTTTTACCACTGTATCTTGTTAAATCGCTTAGTTGTTTCAAGGTAAAACTAAAAGCGTTTTATTTAATTTAAATATATACTTCAAGAAATGTTTCAAGTTCGGTATTTCTATCAAGTTCGTTTTTATTTTTTACTTTTGATTTTACTTAACTATTTTTTTTTTTTTTATCATTCGATCACAATAGATTATTAATAAATACACTTTTTTTTTTATTAATGTTTCTGTTTTGTAATACGATAGTATGTCCCTTTCGTCTCGGAGGTAGGAATTTCACATTCATCATACAAATCGATAGTAGATTTTCTCTTCATTCCTGCATCCACGATTGATTCTAAATGTGAACTGGTCATTTTATTTCGGTCTTTTGGATCATACCGATTCCAAACTTTTTGGATTGCTTCAACCCAATCGTCAAAGGTAACGTCAGGATTTTCTTCAGGTTCTTTTTCGCTTGATGTAAATGTGGTATGTTGAATTGGTGGCATGTGGAACTTATGGCATACAGCAAAAATATGCTTGCATGCCATTCCACGAAACTTAAAGTCAGAACATGTACATTCAAGATGTCCTGGCTTTATATTATTATTTTTTTGTATACAATCTTTTAAACTAACTTCATAATTATTACCTGTTAAAGATTTTATAAGATAATGACGGTTACCAGGTAGATTAAGGATCTCAAAATTTGAACCAGAAATTTCACGGCGCCTTTGTTCTTTCTGGCGGGGCTTCATTCTTCCTATCATTAAACGAACTGCATTACACTCGAATTCTGCATCTTTTAGAGCAGCATGCAATGTCCAAATTAAAGTATCTATCCTATGGTTCTGCTTTGCTTCCAAGTAAGAATACTTAAATTTTTTATGCCAAGATTCTAAAAAATTTGTAGTATTCATTTCTTGGTGCTCATATTGACGGTACGCATCAACCCACTTTTTATAGTTACCTCTATATTCATTTTTTATATATTCTGTCCACTCTTTTTCACCAAAGGATGTCCATCGTGCAAGGTATTCATCAAATTTAATTTGCACTTGAGAAGCATCTCGAATCCGCATAATAATACTAAGCTCATCTAGTGCTGTCTTTTGAGTAACTTGCTTTGCTGATCGTTTAAATATATTATTATTTTCATTTTGTTCCTGTGCTTTAAAATGATTATTATTAGCTTTAATTTTATTTTTATTTTTTTGCCAGGCATTTTTTACATGCCACTGGCATAACAGGATTGTGGCCTCGGGATACACGGCATGAATGGCATTTTGTTGTGCATCATCACAATCAGTTAGGAAGGTATGTGGCATCCATTCTTCATTTTGACCTTTAATGGCTTTAAGCCAATAAATTAAAGTTTCTCCTGATTTTTTTTCAGATATCAAGTGCGCAACTGGTACACCTTGACCACCTTCATTATCACGCACGAGTAAAGTGAAAAGATGTGTTTTATGTGATGTTGTTCCATGTGTACCATCAATACAAACCATTTGTGCACTTTCTAATTTTAATATATTTCTTTGAAATATAGTTTGGAATCCATATATGAAGCCTAAAGATGAACCCCAAGTTAAGTTACTACATGTATAGGATCCATCTTCTTGTGACATTGTGATCCACTCTTTAACTGATATATTTTCACTGTACCCATCCTTTTCATTACCTAAAAATATTACACCTTTCATTTCCTTACTAACGATATTATACACATCAATGTAGGAGAGATATGCATCCCGTTTTTGCATTAAAGGTAAAGAATTTACATCTTCAGCTTCATTAAGATTGTTAACGCGATAATGAAACATTGACACAATATGGGCTGGTTTTATTCCTTCTTTAGCTCTTGCACGAATCCACTCCTTTGCCTGTTGAGATATTTGAAAATGCCGCAGATCTTCATCAGTACCTGGAGTATGACCGTTATGCTGTGTATAATGAACAATATGAACCGCATCTCCTTCTTCATTGCTATTTTTTAATACCCTTAAGTATGACTTACAACCAACTTTTTTTGATAGTTTCTGAATAGGACGAGGATGGCTACGATTTGAGAGAGGTTTAGCAGCTCTTTCCATTGTACCAGCTGTCGATCGTGGTTGCCCATAACAATGACATACATATCTTTCATTCAACTCATATTTTAACCTCTTACGGTTATCTTTTCGAATGTAACGGGCCCCTGCGATATTCGGTAGGATATTTTCAATCCAATTCTTATATGTATTTATATTAAGATGTGTATATATTTTTATAAAATCATTTTGATCTATATCATGCATTTCATTCTCATCTATTTCTTGAAATTCGGCATTGTCACTTTCATCTGTCTCTTGCAATTCAGCCTCATTACTTGACAGATATGTACTGGTTTCTAACGCATTGTTAATAAATATCCTTTGTTCGCCATAATTTAATTCTATATTTTTTAAATTAGAACTATTGCTAGAAAAGGATTCGGAATATGAATAATATATATTTTCTGCTTCTTGCAATTCAGGTGCTTGATTGGTATGTTTAATAGCTTTATTTATTGAGTTATTAACAAGCATGTCATGGTTATCTAGTTTATTTTGCTGATTAGTACGTCCTATAATCTTATCTATTAGATCATTTACTAATTCGTCAGGATGTGAATTGCTCATATTTTCTTAATAAAAAGGTTTAATGAAAAATTTGCAGTTAATACTTTTAGTGATCTTTAGGGTTCTTTTGCCAGCAGTATTCAAGCATATTTATAAGTTTTGTTTAATTATTCGATTTTTTTTATTTACAGAATTGCTTTTTTTTATGACACAAATGTAGAAGTAATTGATTCATATGAAATATACAGATAAGTTATTTTATTGAATTAATTTGAACAAAGTATATTTTTTTCTGCCAACTAAATATAGCTTTCATGAAAATTATTATTAGATAATGAATTCACCTGCGTATTTCACAAAGGAAAATCGATTATACGGTGTACCATGATTAGCTTTTAAATTACACAGTCAAATTTTTCTAAACGCCCTATAGAGACCAAACCTTTAATACTGTATGTTTAGAGAAACAATTAAGGGAAGCGTGTTTATAGGTTCAAGTATATATGTTTGGGCCGAATTTAATTGTGCATTTAGAGAGGTTTCACTGTAATTATACCTTTCTAAATGCCCTATAGAGACTAAACCTTTAAATACTGTGCATTTAGAGAACAATAAAAAAAGCGCATTTATAGGGTCAAGTATATGTTTGGGTCAATTTAATAATGCATTTAGAGAAATTATATTAGCATGATATTTAACAATTTTATTCTAAGAACAAATCTTTGATACTGTGCGTTTAGAAAACAGTAAAAAAGTGCATTTATAAGGTCAAGTATGTGTTTGGACCATATTTATAATTATATTTGCGTGATTTTTACTATTTTATTCTCTCGAAATACAACAAACTTTTATTTTTTGATGCTATCATAAGAGGGTGGTTAAATTCGCTCCACTATGTGTGTTTAAACTGATTAGTAGTACGGGAATTATACCCGAATATATAGCAATTAAATTAAAAGCTCATTAATAGTGGATATTAACAAATTACAAGGTTGTACTTTTTGATTGAAAATTTTTTAATAAAACTAAACTGATAACGATAATAGTTTCTGTACAGAATATTCAATGCTCAATTATTATTTGATTATTTAGACTTGATTTTATAATAAAAAAATAGGTAAAAAAAAAAAGACGGTTTCAATATAATTAACTTATAAAATTTGTTGCTCGAATACTAATAACAATTAAATATAGCGAAATGTTGGTTTTAATCTAATAAAACCTATTAAATGTAAAATTTGATTATTATAGTCATGACAAAAAAATGGACGGATCATATTAAAGCTTTGGGCTGATATTTTTGGTTAATTTAGACACGTAGCAGAATTATCATAGAACATATTTTTGATGCAAGCTTGGGCACTTTAATAAAAATTAAACTGTATTAAATTAATTTATTGAGCACAAATTACTGTGTTTAAACAAAATATTTATTTTTGATATGATCATGAAACAGCCTTTATAAAAGCGTGACTCAGAGAAAAAATCGATTACAGTATTTAAAGTAGATATACAACATACATACCAAATTTGGATATGATCATCACAGAATCCAAATCGGGTGGGGGAGCACATAGATGCACTCGCCCCCAACCCTACTTTTCTGGAATTGTATCAAAACACAAATCGGCCAATAAGATCTGAGTCCAATGATAGATAAAATACTATATATACCTCAAAAAATTTTTTTACATCTTTCACTCATCAACAATACCTTCTTTTTTCGGCTGTTATTTTGTTCGTCGTGCCATCCACTTTCACATAGGTTTGGAGAAGTTAGATCATTTCGATAATTCCGGTCTAACCGGGTGAATTATTGATTGGTCGTCCTATGTTGCTGACTTTCAACTTCTCGTTTGTTTAGTGTCCTCTTTCGCTTTACAAACTATCCTTAAAGATCGTTTTCTCTATACTCGTTTTGAAGTTTGCGCTTGAATAAGGTTCGTCAAATGAGTGATGTACACCTTCCGACACAGATAGGGCCTCTGATAGTAGTTTAAACTAAGCTTAAAGCTTCCCTACTATTTATGCACAAATTTTCTTGAAGAAGTTCTTGTGAAGCCACGAATCTCGCAAAGTTTCCTTTTTTGTTAATTATTTATTTTTTTCTTTTTACCTAGTAGTTTAGGCAAGTTGTTTTTTATTATTTATATATTTTTTCGCGTCTATTTTTTTTTTTTATCTAATTTTAATTTTATTTGCTTTAAAAAGTTCGTCGTATTTCGCGTCTTTGTTGCGTCGCCGTTGGTGTATTTCGTAAGATATGTTTACCATTGGTTCGCGATCAGTAGAATGCGAATCACTTTACCGATGACTTGATACACCATCGGTATCGTATTTTATCATTTCGAGATTTTTTTGTTAAAAAAAAAAATCGGGAAATAAATGAATTGAAAACTGACCGAATATACATATTTTAGGATCGTTTGTTTTCTTTAACACTTTCTCTGTAGATTTAGAATTTTTATTTTTTTAATTCATAATTTTAAATTCCTTTGGGTCACACGGTGCAAATATCTAACAACAGTATTTGCTTGTAATTTTTTTTTCAAAGCTCCGAATTTGAGTTATTGTATAAATTTATGAATTCCTTTAATGCAATAATAATTATAAAAATAATAAAGATGAATGTTATATTTTAATTTAGTTTGGCAAAAAATTAGTTATTAAATTATCATTCAAATAAGTTTTTACTTGTTTAAGGATTTTTAATCTTATAAAATCGACATTATCGTGCTATAGATAGAAGATTCGATTTTATGATGACACGAGATAGACACGAAGCAAAACTGCTTTGACAACTTCTAAATCTATACAAAAGTCAAGAATAATCGTTCATTGTGTTACATACGTTTCTAAACTACAATCATGCTTTGGATTTCAAATACATCGATTGATAACAATATTTTTTTTTATATAAGTTAACCGGGTTAGACACCAAAATCACGGTTCCCGGATTGCGAGCTGAATCTCTAAAACCAACCAATAATAGGATTATTTTCGCATGTATTATAATGTTTGTTTAAAAATTGACTTTCTCCCCCACTGCAAAAAAGAACTTTAAACGAAATTATAATTTCGAACGGCTTAAAGATATATATATATATATATATATTGATCCATTGCTATAATTCTGCTATTATTTATACTGATAGTTAATTCCTATATCACTGTGTTAGAAACAAGAAAATGTGCAGTATGTAATTGGTTATGAGTTACAATATTAAAGAGGATATGCATGAATTTAAGTCATTATTTTACAAAAATCATTTAAACTATTCAAGATCAAAAAAAAAAATATAAATACGTTATGTGTCTGGTATTACGTTCGTAATCTTCTTACTTTATTGACTCCTTGAATTTTATACTGTAATGTATTCATAATTAATTTAATAAGGGGTTTCAGAATTAAACTTCGTAAATCTTATTTTGATAAAATACCTATTTTTTAATTAAATTTCATATCGACAACGTTAAATTAAACATATCAATAATCTTTTAAAGACACTTATGAATGATTATTCAACTATCACGAATAAGGTTATTACTAAAGTTCTGGATAAAGAAAGTGACGGATTATTGGAATTAATACAAGCTATAGAACTTGATTGATATCTTACTATACATAAAAGAACAATTAAATTTAACAATTTTTTTTCAAGTTCTTTTGCTTAATTATAATGTTTATAATTTTAAGCAAATAACCAGAGTTGGTAAAGAGACGTTATGGCACATAGAAAAGTTTAATTCGCAATAGTCCTGTTTTTTAAATACAGTAATTCTAAACGTTTACAAAAAAAACCAGTTTGGCAACAATTGGCAGTAACTTTATAATGCTTAGGTTGTAATGGAAATGGTGCTTCTGTAGGACGATTTGCTAGATAGTGGGCTTAGGAATTGGCACTGTGGTTGAGTATACAAAACATATAGTAACAGCTATTAACTCAATTGGAGATACTTATGTACAGTGGCCTGATTCTATTGTGCGACAACAAATTAATAATAATTATCTGGATTTAAAGGTTGTGTTGGATTTCTTGATAGAACTGATGTTGTATTTGAATACAAATCACTAAAAGATGGTGAAATTTACTATAAGCGAAGATTCAATAAGTTATATAAGAAATAATTTAAGTGAAAGTTCAATAAGTTATATAAAAACAATTTAAGTAAAGGTTCAGTAAGTTATATAAAAAACCAATTTGAGCAAAGATTCAGTAAGTTATATAAAAAACAATTGAGCAAAGATTCAGTAAATTATAAAATAATTTGAGCGAAGGTTCAGTAATTTGAGTGAAGTTTCAGTAAGTTATATAAAAAATATTTTAGCGAAAGTTTAATAAATAACTTGAGCAAAGATTCAGTAAGAGAAATTTATTATTTACACTGTATTTTTACCGTTAAATGTGGCAGATTAAAATGAAATCGGATTAAAATAAAATTTTTCTATTTTTTTAGAAAAATTTAAATTTTTTGGGGGACATTTTTTAGTGTTAGGGTTAGTGTTAGGGTTAGTGTTAGGGTTAGGGTTTAGAATTAGTTTTATTAATAAAAGAGTATAAGTGGGTTTTATAAGCTTTAAAGATGAGCAAGAAAGGT